GCCGACGAGGATACTTGAACTCGATCACTGAATCCCCAAGGGATCATCGTTGTCAGTTGTTGTATGGACACATATATACGCTAGCGTAGCAGCAACGAAGATGAAGAGAGGGCGGAGAAGGGCCAGAAGACTTTTCTTTCACAGTAGGGTCCTTATCGAGATGATACACTCCCGTCCCTGCTTTGGTGCTCCTTGCTGACACCATCACTGCTGACTGTAGGCCGGAAAAAGTGCCTCCTCCGTCACTGTAAAGCTTTACGCCGCCCGAACTGCGCAGGAAGGGACGTGTGGTTCGTCAAGGTATTCATCCTCTAGTCAGGTTGCTTAGGTGGGTGCAAGATGTCCCTCATCATAAAGTCATCCGCATGTTCTCGACGGAGTGTGGCAAACCTGTCTAGAATATAAGGTGATGAACGTGAACAAGTAAAAGAAAATTTTAGCTTCTGGACACCTTAAAATTATTATCTCAAGGTGCCCACGCGACAGTGTTCGCCTTGGGAACGTGCTGCTTCCTGTCAAGTGAGATGTCCGTGGAATTCTCAACGCGGCCCTGTTCTCTGGGATAGAATGAGACAGGGAGGAACGCGGACGCAGTGATAATCGCATGGAATGCCGAGTTTAAAGCGACTGGCGGGATCGAGCTTCTGGACACAGGAGCTCAGTGAGCAATGCCCAACTCTTTGATCCAGATGTGGTGTGTATCATATCTGGCCATGAAGCGTGAGAACTCTTGAGCGATGTTGACTGGTGTATGAGAATGGCCACAGGCTGCATAGACGGATGTTCTCAGCCTCATTGTTTCGCCCTCCAACTTGAGGCACAGTGTAGACAGAAACGCAGAAGAGGATCGTAGTAGATGGATCTGGGCCGGAGGGAAAAGGGGTCAGGCTACGGAAATCTTAGCCTGATGTAAGTCAACGTTTCGGTGCAGGTAGGGCGGGCGTCTCGTAGGGATGGATCCCCGGACCGTAGCCGGTGACCAGCGCCTTCAAAACAGAGTCCTTTTCTGTTTCTGTTTGCCTTCCCAGCGTCAAAAAGTCTGAGAGACGAGGGCTCAGAAATCCAAAGGGCCTGGGAACTTTGGAGCGCTGGAAACAGTGCGTCGACAGGTATCCGTCAACAGCGGGAAGGCTGGAGACTTGTGGCGCCCGAAAGATGAATGAGATAGCCATCGAGAGCACCGCATCTCTTTCAACATCGACTGAACAGGAATTCCTGCACGAAGCCGTGCATACGAGCGTCGACAGCTCACGATGGTGGTGCAGGAGAGGCGTCCACGGAGATGGAGTCCTAACTCCCTTGCCTTAGAGGATTAGTGAGAGAGATTGGGCACTAACTAACCAAGAAAGCGTCCTTAACGAGCTGTTGCCTTGCACTAAGAACATGGGACCGAGCTTGCAGAGAGTAAGCTTGCTTCTGCACTCTCTGATGTCCACTCTTGACCGACGAGCAGGCAACCGAGCACCCATGCTGATGCTCAGACTCGTACCGCGGCGTGTTTTCCTTCCGGGGAACCCCTAACCGTAAATTAGGTTGAAGACCGGGGTCTGTCTGTTTCAAATGACCCACCAAGAGGATCACATTTGGGTAAATTGCAAACTTTCTCACCGCCCAGCATCCCCGAAGCAATCAGAGAAAAAGCCAAACAGGGCGTAAAATCAATAAATTCAAAGCTTTTGTACTTGTGCAAGTCACTTGATCAACACAACTGGCGCATTTTTGGAATTGTGGATGCGCTACTGTGTAGATCAGCGGCAAAGGGTTCTCGACGCAAATCCTTGACACCTCAGTGGTGAGGCAGCTGAGAATTACAAGGAGGTGCGACCGAATCGAATTCCAGAAACAAGGAAGGCAACCATTCGCGTCGTCTTTCCATCCGACGTGGATCAAGGCTGGGACGAGTGCACACGGTCCAGACGCTGGTACCAGTCTTGTTGCACCTGTCAAATAGTGTTGCAACCTGTCAGTTAGTGGCTGCCTTTCGATGGCGATGTTGGAAGACGCCACTGAGGGTCTATCGACTTGGGAGAGTCATTTCAGTGGGGTGTACCTGTAAAGAACGGACTGCCTCTCACCAAGGTTTCAGTGACCGCTCCATCGGCGTGGCGGTGGAGCTGGTGACGCTTGTGTGGCTCGCGCAGAGGCCACTAGAGCTGACAGAGCAGACTCGCGGTTGCTTCTTGAGGTGATCTGAACCACCCTTTCGTCGTCGTACCCCGTCCCGAAAGACAGAAGTTCCAAGGTTGGCTTTGATCAGAGCAGGCTCCGACAAGAGTTTTGCCGTCTCTGGATACCATTCGCCCCAGGACGAGTCATGATGAGATGAAGATTTCGGCAGTGCAGGCTCCAGACGTGGTAGGCTCCCTTTAATGCCTCATGTTCTGGGGTATCATCTCATTTGCCATCGTGGCTATGCTAGGGTGCAAATAGAAGGAAGCAATGTCCATGACGTGTTGGCAAAAGCAAGAACTGGACAAGTAGTCTTGATTTGAAGTACTGATGGCACCCCTTAGCAGCGGATAACGACTTACCTACGACACTTTGACTCCCAAGTCCCCAAAAACCCTTCGCTAGTTCATCTGTTCAGGAATCAAAATTGTCGGTGGCGAGGGTACTATCATTCGAGAAGGTTCGACATCCTTCAGCTCTCTCATCCCGCCAGGGTCTTCGATTCATCTTTGAAATTTTTCTGGATTAAAGAGCCGGCCCTCATGCTTGTGTCCGGACCTTTGAGGTTGGCATTTTTGATAGGAGGGCCGATCGGGGCTGAGCATTCGCCACGGCCAATGAAGCCCTTTACGAAAGAAATGCTCAGTGATTGACATGCTGATGCTGTTCTTCGTAGTCCAGACCCTTGCACAGAGCTGTAACAACGTAGCAATAAGCTGACCAGCGAGGACCAACAGAAGTTATCCTGGTAAGGCTGTGCAGCGATGTGCGGCTGTAGCCTCATGTATAACAGAGCGAACCAAGGCCCTCGAGACTTTGAGTATGCCAGGTTGTGAGGGTCAGCGCCCGTCTATACACGTTGGGAGCAGCATCAGCTGTTGTTGATAGAGGATCAAACCTGTCAGTAGGTACAGAGAAAAGGAGGAGAAATCCAAGGAAGAGGGCGAGCTGAAGTTGCAAGATATGCTCGCTTGGACGAGCTGAAAATGGCATTTAGTGTCGCAGACAATAGTTTTTCCGCATTCCTAAGAGGGTAAGTGCAAAAGTACCGTTTTCAAGGTTCGGCTGGTCTCGGGGCGCGCCGAGCGCTCACCAGCCACGTGCTGTGGCAGTGTCTGTGTGGCGCCAATACTAGTACCATATTAGGACGTACTAGCACTAGCTCCTGTACTAGCTTCATGAACGCCAACTTCACTCTCAACGTCAGTTCAACCTCCTTTCCATAAGTTCACTCTTAATCCTTCCGTAACAACACTGACCACAGGTCGGTGTGAAAGAGCCGCTCACTCTGCTCCCTATCTCACCATATTCATCTGAGGTAGCCAGTTTCAGGATTGCAGTCATTACAGTTCTTGCTCGCATCATACTTGGCCTTTGCGGGCCGGAACGTTTCTTCACAAAAAAAATGAGCTGGAGAAAACCTGCAGAGGTTGAGCTCCCTAGCAGCAGGACTGGATCAATCTCAGACCTGGAGTCACAATTAGATGTTTTGGCGCATCCAGGACCATGCGCACGTGATAGCATCGCGGGATGCGTCAAACTGGGGGCCGCAAACGACGAACGTTGTGTGCTGTTCAGACTAACTTCAGTTTCATGACGCTTTGCAAACTACACGGTAGGAGGGCCTTTCTCAGCGAGCGACAGAGCGTTCTCTATTGTCTGTGACGAAGATGTCCCCACCCCGCGTGACGGACACCTCTCCACAACAATGAATGACCTGCTACTATCCAACACGGGCAATGGACCTTCGGTTCGATCCACGACTCCGTCGCTTTCTTCACAAGACAGATCCTCGACCTCGTCGACCGTCGTGTGCAGACACTGGTAAACAAAAAGATTCAATCGTCGTTTCGTCCCACATATCTGATTCTTACAATTCAATTCGCACTGAGCAGTCAGTTCCATTCTGCCCTTGAAGTCACCTAAACTCTCTCCGACGAACAGAGCACATGTAAGTCATCAAACATGCACGACCAGAGATGGCGAGCAGCATTCGCTTGCTGGAAGAAAAGAACAGCTTAATCTGAAACACTTTTGTCGACACAGCAAAGCAGATACTCTCCAAGAAATTAGATCGAGTACTCGGCAGAGCACGTGCGTGCAAGTTTCCTTCCCCGGACAGCTCCTCCTCCTCCTTTACCTTCTGGCATTATGCTGGTCGGCATAGCCCCACCCTCGCACAGTCGGACTGCCGGCTGGTAGGCTTCGGAGTGAGGCTCTTGCAGACCACGGATCCACAACCCAGCGTCCTCCTCTTGTGCAGCCAGGCGTGGGATATGGTCGTCCTGTCACAAAGGGATGATACAACGGCCAAGTCTGACTTGAACATTGCCCAAGGATGCAGGTCGGCAGATTGGAGAACGGGAAAAATATCTCAGCACGCGGCGCAAGACGCCCGAAAAGGTTAGCTCCATGTGTCAGCCTTCGAATCAGGACGCATGAATCTTGGGGATCTTGGGGGCTTAGTGCAGCCTGCTGCCCATTGATAGGCTGGACGGGCCTTAGCTCCAGTTGGCACTGTCTCATTGGCCAACGGAAGGCATAGTGCTTGCCTGGTCAGTTCTGTTCGGGGTCATCCTGCTCCCCCCTCCCACACTCATCTCGTTTTCCTCCCTCGACTCCCTTCTTTATATGATATTGCGTTGTTTTACACCAGATGAGCAAGTTTTGTCTCCATTGTTTGAGCCATCAGTTTGCCATCGGTTTGGAGTTCTTGGGCACTCGGACTGTCGATATCGGAGGTCTTTGATATGGACACAATCCCAGCCAGCGTCCCGCAAGATATCAGGTTCTGTACCGCGAAGATACCTACCCACCTTGGGCAGTCAGTCATGGCACCGGTGAAAAGAGAAGAGTGCGTCCTTTGGTTTTTGCGGTCAAGAAATGTTTTCAATGCTGATGCTTGTTACGACGCAGCCGCCGCCGGATCCCATTGACGGCATTCACTTTGCTTACCGTCCCAGAGGACCCCATGCTGTCTGTCTATCTTAGAAACAAGGAAGCCATCGACATCAGCATGGAAAGAAGGATGTCCAGATCAAAGCCGGAAGCACGTTCGAGCCCTTGTGCAGCTTCAGACTCAGCCAACGGTCGTCCCCAGCTGCACCATGTTGGCGACTCCTCAATCGATAAGGACCAGGTCACTAGCAAGCTCCATGCCTCCGGGATGGAACTCGAACTCGACAAGTTCATGGGCACTATCACGGCAACAGAGTCGCCCGATGCCGTCATCAAGACAATTGCTTCGACCAAGGGAATACCGTTTTACGACAGGGGAAAGTAAGACTGAACGCCATTCCCCACACCCGGGTCGGCATATCACATGAAGCTTGTGAGCGGCATATTGCAGAGGAAGCCGCCACGCTCAACTGTGCGCAGAGCTGTGGGGTTCGTTGAACAGGAACTCGTGAGAAGGGTCATGTGACATCATGTACAAATTCCTCGACTTGGGTCACCATGTCATTTTCCTGCTTCATTCCTTGCTTGACGGTCTCACAATATACTTGTATGTAACAGCGTCGGGCGGAAACAATACTGGTACCAGAAACCAGGTCGTGTTAGTATTTTATATCTAGTTGTCCTGAATCCGGGACGAGGCGAGGCGGTTACGAGATGTGAATAGCATTCTCCCTCAGCAAGATTGCGACACAGATCGGGAGATAGAGAGAAGGGAAGGCAGGGGACGCGCGGGGAAAGAGAAGGGGGGACTGTATTTATATTTTACCCAGCTATGGAATATTTGGAAGTCGTGGAGTCCACCTTCAGCCTAGGACGACTCGTCAACGAGGTCAAAGGCATATAATCCACCGGACTTGTGACGGTAGGAGAGAAGAAGTGGTTGTACACACCAATCGCACATAGCGGCGAGGTGGACACTCCACACCTTGGTTTCCTGCACATAGTGCCCCTCAAGTGTGTGTGGTTCTTGTCTTGACTTCGGGAGACTCTTCGCTCTGGCATATCAAATTATCAATTACACGTCAGGTGCTCGACCAGTGACTGACTGACTGACTGACTGACTGGCTGGCTGGCTGGCTGGCTGGCTGGCTGGCTGGCTGGATTCTGCTCCCCCAATGGGCGTTGCGATGTCCTAGTAGCTATTAATGCAGCATACACCCATTTTATGGATACATGATGCACAGTCGGCCTGATCTACCTACGAGGGACAATTGTCAAGAACAGCATAGGTACTTCAGTGGACCGTCGGGTTGCAAAATGTGTATTAAAAACAGTCCTGGTTGTTTCGAAACGAAGTAGAATGTCGCATCGGTCGTTACCCTGTGTGAGACCTCCCCATTTTCTCTGCTCGGTTGTCGTGCCCCCTGTCCTCCTAGATATCAATGTCGACTCGTATTTTGCTTCCCCTCGTCGAGCTACGTTGTTTGTTTTCTATTTTATTGTTACCTCTGGATTTTCGTATTGCGGATCTTAAGCCAGCGCTCAAGGCTTCTCCTTTGACTTGGAGGAAAGCCCAAGATGACTAGCTGCAAAGTTCCCCTACTGTTTAGAGCCAGAAGACGAAATTCATTGTCCGATTCGGCCCGCGCCGCCTCCACTCTTACTTGCTGATTTTTCGACGGTCTTGATTCGATGCATAATCATTTGCATCCCCGCATCGCTCCAGATACCACTCATTGATTTGCTGGTGGCTGGTTGAAACCATTTGAGACCGCCTTAAATGTCGTATACATTCCACATTTGCCCGACCTCAGACATCCACGCATAGCATTCCCTGAGTTCCACGCCCCAGATTGTGGCCCCTGACCGGGTCCATCCAGGTGTTGTTGATCTTGTCGACCTGTCGGGTAAGGAAGGCAAAATGCTTCGTCTGGAAGGATCGCCTGAAACCGATTTTGCAGCGGAGATCTGCCAGGATCGCCGCTAGCGGCTTCCTGATCTCTTCGGGTTCAGACGTCGGTCATTTGCAGGTCACGTTCAGCGGCGGTGGGGGGTTGAACGTGCAACGTATACAGCGAGGCATTGTTCGCAAGCGACAAAGCAAAGTCGGTGCACCCAAATTGCTTTGTCGAGAAGTCATATGTCATGTGGCGCTTCAACTGGAAAAACGTCAGCGGCAGAAGGAATCGGCTGATAGTCCCTAGACACACCGATGCAAGTCTTACTCCCAGCCAGAGACATCGTTCAGCCCGCGGTGCTGCATGGCTTGGCAGTTCTAATGCGCGTTCATCTTCGTCGACCACTTGTCCCTCAAAGAAATCTGACGGGAAGTAATATGGCGCCCAAACTAGGCCACGGATGGGAAAGTCTTCAGGCAACTGTCTTCCCGTGCCCGATTGCTGTTGAGGGAACTCCTTTGACTCGACGTGCGCATCAAACACTCCGGATCTGCTCAAGCTGTTCAAAGCAACGACCAATAACTCCCATGGAACATAATTTTCGACGTAGATCAGGGCACCGGGAACGTATGACAACGACCAAAGGAATGCTAACGTAAGGTGTAGGAAAGGAACGATGTTGCGGTCTCCAAGCTTACCAGCTACTATGGACATTGCCCGTGACCAAACGGGAAGAACGTAAGACGTAACTTCATCCGCCGACGCAAATTTGTCATGAAGTCGAAAGTCGCGTGGTACGGAGGCCTGACGGAAGTTGCTTGCATCGATCGGTCCACTTTCTTCCCAGAATTCGCGGTGAATGCGCTCTTTAGCCATGGGATCCGGGGCGGTTATGGTACTCCACTCCTCCTGCTGCTGCTCTAACTGAGAACCCCTAAGTTTATCGTGGTTAGCACGGAAGGCCTTCCAGAGGAAATTCTCCTCCGAGCCAAAGTCAAAAAGGCATGCGATCAGGGCCGAGGCTACCTCTGGGCCCTGGACTTTCCAATCGGCACCAGATCTTGTGATGTGGCTGTCTAATTCCAAAGTAAATCGATCAATCTGAACGCGATATTCGTTGATAGAACCCTTTGTGAACAAAAGTCCGGCGGCGGTAACCAGAGAACTCTCGAGCTTAGAATATTTGGAAGTGCTGGATTCCACTTTGAGTTTTTGGCTCGGTGTCGTGGATCCCTCCAAAAGCGGACTAAACAGAAGCATGATCGAGTCCCTGGCGTTGGGAAACGGGTTGATACTGATTAGAGCCTTGGAATAGTAAAACAACTGGCAAACAATATGAGGCCTGGCCAACACTGCGAGGTGATGCTGAATTCTGCCAGTGTCGGGCGAGCGGTCGGCGGCTTTGTGGTACCACATACGAGCGACGTTGGACCAGGTTTCCCGATCCCGCATATCGGCCTCTTCAATAGCCATGCGATAGCGAGCAAGGTCGCCTAAGCATTCTATCCAGGTCTCGTGAAAGGCGGGAACTGATTCCATGAGAAGCCCCATCATTTGATAGGCGAGGTATACAAAGCTCAGCATGTGCTCCAGAGAATACGGGAGACGATGGCGGAGCAGCTCCAGGAAAGAATGGATTCCATGTCTCCACATGCGCGCAGGCATTGCATATTTGGTGGGCAGACGCCGCAACGCTGGCGACGCCGTCGGGTGTTGAGAGGCCAAGAAGAAGTCATGATGCTCGTGGAGGAGTGTGCGGTGCAAGGCTATTAAGGCCTGCCATTGCTCATTGGAGAGCTTGTTGGTCGTTTGAGCTTGCTGGGCACATATTTCCACACACTTCTTCTCTACCATGACAAGTCCGGCGTAGATGCCCTTGACCTCATTGACCAGCTGTTCCAAGGATATAGGCCGTGTCTCGGGCTGGTGTAGTGGCTTTGTCGTGTCGGCGTAGGCACAGGGATCATCTGGGTCTTGGTACGAGTGGGATGAAGTGGGCCGAGGGTTCCTATAAATCTTCCTTTCCGCCCCGGAACAATGGACCAGAGCACCGGAGTTTTGTGGCCGAGGAGACGAGACGGGCGTCTGCTGCGCCGATTGGTAGCCCTCTACGCCCGCTGAAGGGGACCGCGCTCTACTTGAATCCGGGGGTGGGGACTGGACATGCGTGCTTTCGTGGTCGTAGCGGGTCCGGGAGTAACCTGGCGAGGCCGAACCAGGCCGTATCTTGTTAGGACGGTATTCTGGTTCAACCGCAGGCCGCTTCGTGGGTCTGGGAGGATCTGCAATGCTCAACTGCTGCAAAGACTCGCTCGGCTCCTTTTTGACTCTTGGTGGCGACGAATCGGGTTGATGACTCCTGCTGGTCCTATGGCCACGAAAGATTCAGAACAGGAATGGGACATTGGAGAGGGAGAGGTCCTCCGTACCTGGGCTGTTGATGCTGTTGACGAACCTGGGAATCAGCCGAAGATCCGGCATGGGCCGATCCGCCACCGGGGCTGGATTTCAAGTGCGGGATTCGTTTGGAGTCTCCGGAGTAATAAGCCATGGCAAAGTCCTGGAGTTCAAAGGGCCCTTTGGCGTTAGCCCCTGGTGGCACAAGGTGGCACCGAATTTGCCCGGATTTTTCTCGGCTCTTGCAAAGGATGTGGTCTTTCGGAACTTTGGGGCTTTGGGGCTTTTTGCTGGTTTTTTTGGGGCTGGAGAACGGTCCCAACTTACCCTAAAAGCTCGGGTTTCAAAGACAGGGAAATAGAATCAGGTGCTTGTAAAGAGGATCACGATGCCAGAACGCGCGCTATTGGCTTCCAGAGACGAAATATGAGAGAATTGACCCTGTCTTGGTGTTACTGATAGCAGAACACAGTCCATATGGGATGAAGAACCTCACAAAGCTCCTACCTGGCTCCGGCTGTGAGGATATTTCTTTTAAAGGGAAGTTTTAGGCCCTGGCCCGTCCTGAGGCTGATGAAATTGGGATTGGATCCTGAACGCCGAAATGATGCGTGATGGCAGTAGCAAAAAGGGTGGACTGGCAGGTGACACTAAAGCAAGGACTTTTCCAAGGGGGGGATGCAAGGGACATTGGTGCGAACCATGCGAACCACGCGCCCCCACCGGGGCCAAGACAAAAGGCAACCCCCGCGGCTCCGCGAGAGACCCACAGTGTGGAGGATATCATCCAATGGCCGACAGCCACCAAACCCGGACACACAGCCAAGCTTCGTCACGGGTCTTGGCCCCAAAAGCCTCCCTCGACAGCTCGCAATATTTGCCAGTTGCCATACTCATGACGGACGAGAGAAAATCGCCAGGTGAAATGAAGTTTTAGCAGAGTTGAAGGGGCTCTGAAGTCATTCTTATACCTTCGTTTCCCTTATGATTTGCTAGGGCGTATACCATGACTCATCAATCAGTCCATCTGTCCTTTTGCCGATCACCGCTTTTGGCTCCTTCGCTTCCCCCACGATGCCGTTAAGGCTGA